AGTGAACGCCGGGATGAGTGAAGATTTTAAGAAAGAATAGATGAGGATAGGGAAACTTAGTGCGTTGAATCTGACGAGTGACGAACGACGTCACATATGCCATCTTAATTCAACATCTAACAACCTCTGATGTTTGTATTTTTTCCTCAGTCATCTCGTATGGAACGTTTGATGAGTAACATCTACTCGTTTGTATCGATGTAAAATGACCCACTCTATAAAATGCAAGCGGAGACTAAGTCGGTAAAGAAGCATAGTTCAGGGTGCGAACAGACGACTCGATCGACAATTCTACGGACTCGCCAGCGGACTCGCCTGCGGACTCGCGCAACTGGGCCGCTCATAATTCCTTCAATACTTAACGGATCTGCATGAATTTTGGAATATGAGTATTAATTATCGATACGCTGCCGCAGGAATTATTACAGATTTTTGCATGAATTATTTCCTAACCTAGCCTAACCTAACTTAACCTAACCTAACCTAACCAAATAATAGGTCATGTAAAAATCTGTAATAATTCCTGCGGCAGCGTATCGATAATTAATACTCATATTCCAAAATTCATGCAGATCCGTTAAGTATTGAAGGAATTATGAGCGGCCCAGTTGCGCGAGTCCGCAGGCGAGTCCGCAGGCGGGTCCGTAAAATTGTCGATTGAGTACGAATAGAATCCGTAGCCATTCTAATCGCTCATTATACAAATCACACATTATAAAACAGCGATAGATGATTTTTCATGATTTATCCTCTATTATTGGCACAAGATTCTACCAGCATATGTTCGATTACCCGGAAATTATTATACTTTAATAGAAATAATTGTGTCAGACATACTGAATCTTCATCAGTTATATCAGAGTTCCATAAGAAATTATAATTACTGATAATTAATTCACGTCAATAGCTAGATTATTGGTGAAGAATACCATTTTTAGCTCCAATGGTAATTCAATCGGAATCAAAATGTCGACTGCGCATCACAAATAAAAGTTACCCTGGTCGTCTCGTATATGCTACGCGTTTAAAACAAAAAATTTAATTTGCAGTATTAATTCAGTAGCTCAGATATTATTAAATATTTATCTACGCTGCTATTTCAATATAAGAGAAAAAATGGCAAATGTAGATAAAATGATGGGCTGCAACGTCGAGGAGTATATTGAACCTATCGATATTTCTTGAAAAGTAACTATGCAGTCGAAAGTAAGCAGGAAGCTCTTTATTAAATTCTGCATTTCTCTTGAAATTTTCTACTTTTTGTATGTAAAATGATTAAACTACGGAAATATATTCTTATTAACAGTATTATTGCTTATTAACAAATCGAGTTAGAGGCGTATCCAACTGTGAATCATCAACCTTGAACCGATATTTCAAAGATATACAGAAATTCAGAGTCCCTATCGCAGTAATAGTTATTGCTGAGCGAGAGCCACCAAACTGATTTGTCTATGGCATAGAATAATAGTGGCAGCTACATGATAGTTTTGATCAGACGAACGTGGGCCACATAACAGAGAGTTAGTCAAAAATATTAGATGTCACATCAATCTAGCACCGTAGACTCGGTAAATTGACGAACTTATCAAGTTTTTAAAATATTGAATCTTCAATATTACCAGCGATTTATAAAGGAAAGTTAGGAAGAAACAGCCTTTCAACATTGCAAGACAACATCAAACTACTTTGCAAAATTAGTTATCTTTCAAACGCTTGCCTCACTCGCAATCAAAGTTGTTTTCATTAGTATTTTGAGTAAGTGGTATATGAATGGGACTTCATGCAGCTATTTTTTAAATACATGTTATGATCAAGTTTTCTTATCTTTTGTACGTACATTATTTTATATATTGTAGCAACCATGTGACATGTTGAATTTACTTTTGCAGTTTGTGTCTCATTGATTTTAGTCGCAGATTTAAAGCTTACATGTACATGGGTGTGGTTTTTCACCAGTAATTTTTGGCAACAATTAACTTGTGCGTGAATATTCAATTTTTTTACTTCTGGTAAAATTGATATGAGAACACTTGATGAGCACAAGTGTTGAGTCACACTTGTGCTCGTCAAATTCTCATATCAATTAAAAATAACGATCAGTTCTCTAATAAAAAAATCAGTTCTCTCTCGCTGGCACCGTGAGTGTTCGACTACTCATTGTCCCGTTTGAATGTCTGACAACCACAGAAATGCGTTGAATTATATCAGGCAGTAGATTTTTTACAGGTTTATCAGTAAAAATATTATCGGTATTGATCGTATTTATGGTAATTAAAATGACAACATAAAAAAGAGACTGCAAAACTACTCGTGACCAAATATGCTTGTTCATTGTATAGTGTATTTTTCATGTAACTCAGACGAAAATTTTTTTATTAGTATCTCGCGTATTAGTATCGCGTATTAGTATCTCGTCGAAGATCCAGACAATTATTTTTACTGATGAATCTTGAAGAAATCTACATTTAAACGAACTATATTTGAAACGGATAAAATCCTTATTGGCAAACAAACTTCCACTCAAGCGACATCGGAATTTCTTTACGATGACCTCCTAGTTTTGGTGTTTATACTTCAATTCAACAAATATTTTGCAGAATAAACTAAACTAGAATATAATTAATTAATTTAGGTTTGACAAAAAATGTAGAGTATAAATATTTTTCTGAAAATATTGCAGTTAAATAATACTTTGCCAGAGCATTGCACAACCGTTGTCTATGGCGCTTGTCGGCACAGCATTCCAGGAGATGCTTTGGTAAACACAAGCCTTACATGTCCGTGCATACAAATGTTCTTGAATTTTGTTGTGAAAACGGATTCAGATTTACAAGTCTTTAAAATCGCATCTATATTTAAGTAAAACCTGTTGACACTGCCGGTTGCCAACTGACCAGCATGGAGAGAGAGGAATCGTTCAATTTGAGGAGTACACCTAAAACAGTAATATATGCACTGATTTTGCTGTGTTTCTCACTGTACGCCATCTTCCACCTCGGGGAATGGAACCACAGCACGTGAGTGCAAGTTTAACAGTGGTTGCATCAAATTTTTCGATAACAACTAAATTTGGTTGCCAAGGATTTAGAAATTAAATTCCAAAGAATTTTAGGCGAAAAAACGTGCAAAATCAACGATAAAATTGTTCATTGTCAATTGTCATTGTTCAATTCAATTATTCAATTCAATTCAAAATTGTTTAATTCAATTCAATTGTGTGCATTGTCATTGTTCAATTCTCGCTTCGAATCACCGACATGTGGAACAGCCTCCCCGATGACATCGTTGGCGCTCCAAGTATGAACGCGTTCAAGAACAGACTAGATAAAGCTATGGAAAAATATATGTTCAGATTTGAAATGCCTAGCTCCTTATCGAACCCGGTGGAAGTCTAGTAGCTTCTTCAAACTATCGCCAGTCATGAAAAGATCCGGTCAAATGACACGAGTTTAGATCTATGAACAAGGCACGAAATGGAAAAGAATCGGCGACAGGCCACATCAGGCCTACACTTCAGAGCCGACATCACTATGTTATGTTATGTTATGTTATGTTATGTTATGTTATTGTGCCACTGTACCTAGTAAAAAGATATAACTTAAGTGAGACATGCTAGGCGAAGTTTCTTACTGGTCCTAATACTTGTTTCTTATATAACAGGTCTTATCCCTCATTCTTGCACCGCTCCGAAGAAATGGCGCGCATAATAACCAGCAAATTAAGCCAGACAAGCATGCAGCATCAGCAAGACAAACAGCACCAGGATCAACTGCAAAATCTATTGGAGCAACACCGTTTGAAGTTGTCAGGCGTGAAGCAAGGTTGGTTGTATTTTAATAGAACTGATCGTTCAGTTGGTTACTGAGTTCTTGTTGGTAATTATAGGTTTCATCAAAAACTGGCGGAAAAAAGTTTCTTCGACGAATCATTAACCAAATGCATTCGAGCATGCAAAAAGACTTTGACGGCTCCATTCATTGATTGGAACCACCTACTAAACTGACGGTGAGAATATTAGCTCTTGACATGCAGTTAAATTTCGTCTTTTAGATTTCACGGTCGTAATTTAAAATATTTTGGTGCACGTAATATGCGAAATTCATTTTTTGTGAATAAGTAAAAACATACTTTGTTTGAAATACTGATCTTGATCGCTAATTCCAAAGTTTGCGTAATTATCTTTTGAATAACCAACAGTGGAATCGTAAGGGAATTTCACAAACACCATCGAAGTTGAATTAATCTGGTATCTGACTTTCCCGCTTACCAGTTCAATTTACTCCCGTTCACCCAAGAACTTAGTTCGTATAGTCTTATTAATGCACAAAGCCAAATGACAAATTCTTTTTCAATCCATTATGAGCTAAGCAGAGCCATATCGGAGTAGAGGTTTAGCTGTGTCACAAGATGGACGTGCGTGTTGCGCGGGCTCAAAACTGGCCTTGCATAATGCCGGTTTACCTCTATTTATGCATCTTGTGCTGAAGCTTTTCAGTAAAAAGACTTTGGTGAAGTCAGTGAAAGAGAATGCGAATAAAGAGTGGAAGTGAATAAGAAGTGTTTCCCTGTTTTTTTTTTCTTGTAAAGAAACGAGGGTAAGCTTGTGAGGGCACAGTGCTGTTCGCTTTGCTTTCGGTTAGGCCTAAATTTCTTGAGCAAGCTCTGTCACCTTTGTTCTGCCCCACTGTCTACCTTTACCTTATCCCTCCCCCTCTACACCCGCCTGTCGTGTCGTTCCCTTGACTCCCCCAGCCCACCCCTCTCTTTCTCTCGCCAGCTACAGCTGTTACCTCAGCTGTTCCACCAGTCGAAATTTTCGAGGGAACTTTACTATACTGAACTCAACTCAGTTTTGAAGTTTTCTCCGTCCTTTTATCCATTCAAAAGGTTTAGTTCGTGCATTTTACAATCGCTGGACAGAAAATATAAAAGATAGTCGAAAAGCCCTCTACGGCCTCTAGAAAATAAAATGAAACCAAATCAGCCCAGCTAGAGATGAAAGTTTATAAGTATTGCAAAGTGATCTCTTTGAGCGAAGTCCAGACGGTCACCTGTGAACGATGCGAAGATCTCATTTATATCTGCTGTTCGAAGTTGAGCTCTAAGGAGTACTCATTTCTCCAGAAATCTAAATTACTTCATTGGTTTTGCGAAAAACCAATTCTTGGTGCTCGGAAAAGCGAGGAGTCGGTGGAAGAGCATGGCAATGAGTCGAAATTGTTGAATGATGTAGTAAACTCCTTGAGTGAGATGGAGCGCTCGCTGAGTGACAAATTGAGCTCGTTATGCAATGAGCTGACCTAAGTGAAGGCTCAGCTGAAAAATACGGGAGAAATGGAAATAAAGAACAAGAGAGCTGATTTATCTGAAGACGCCAGCGAAAGCACACGTGAATTACTTGATAGAGAACGTAGGAAGTCCAACCTGGTTTGGTTTGGGATTCCTGAAAGTACCACATCTGATGCGAAGGACCGAGTGATGATGACACGGCATATGTTGTAGATTGTTGCAGCAAGGTGCTCAACACACAGATTGATGTTACATCGTGAAAGAGGCTACGCTCAAAGGATGCTGCTGCCAACACCTGCAGACCTCTTTTGGTGACTGTTAATTAAGTAAACCGTGATTGTCGTTCAAGGGTAAAGATTAATGGACAAATAGGCTTGAATCGGAAGCGGGCTAATTCGGCTTGAACTATGGTCCTGTTCATCTGGTAATCATAATGGACGTCATCTTGGTTTATTTCGTAATTAATCTGAAAGGATTGTGTTCGTGGGTTAACTGGGAGTAAAGTGAGCTGATTTAAGCAGATTTTAACTGATCCAGATGTGGCCTACGATACAAACTGCGCAATTTCATTGCTTATTTAGCTGTACTTGCCTATTTCTATCACTTTTAGTTTACGATTGTAAATATTTGTTCATTAGTTGAATATAAGTAAAATGGTGAGTGACATTCGGATGGACCCGATAGTGCAATTAGGGATCGATTCACATTTGTTCGTCACCATTGCAATTTATTATTTTCAAATCATTGTTCGTTGAAGTTTTTAACAATTTAAACACAACTTAATTATCGGCAATTTGGTAACATGTTACTTATGACATGAATTTCTCATTACTGCTGCTCGTTACTTTCAATGATGGAACGATTAAATTGCCTCTGACGAAATTTTCAATATTCCTTCAATATAGGAACAATTAACAGTTCATTCTGCATCAATATCCGGCAACGTTTCCGAGTAACATAAGTCTTACAGTAAATAATAAGGGAAAGCATTATACAGTTTCAAAGACTTGCTTTAACGTTCTTGCAGAACTGCCTAAAGAAACTGGAGAAAAACCGGTCGACCAAATCTCCAAAATTAATGGACCGCTGGAAAAAGGCGATTTTCTTGGTCCCAAATTCAAGAATTTCAAGAAAATTCTCTACTGGAATGAAGTACGTTGTCCCACTAATTAATGGCTGCGGGTGTGCATTGATGGATAATAAAAAAATGTTCGTTCCAGCGCCAAACTTAGAATTTTTTCTTTTTTTTTTTGTTTCATAAATTTCAGAATAAACTACGAAGGCGATGCAAAATCATGAACGTTACGTTTACAATTATGAATAATGAAATTTGAAAGTTTATATCAACTAAATCGTAACTAATTAGTTATAAGTGAGTTTTTCGCAATAACCTTTCTCCGATTCAAGGTGTTCGGCGCCAAAGATTTTTGGCTCGGCCTCGGCCAGGAGCCGTTCATTGAAGCGGGCTGCCGCGTCACAGAGTGTTACGCTACCCACGACCGGCGGCTGCTGCCAGCTGAGCGAGCCGACGCCATCATGTGGCATTTGAGGTCTAACGACAAGTCCCTTCCCGAAGTTAGGTGAGACATTTAACCCTCTACCGCCTGAGGGTGGATAGCCAGAGGTCAGCATAGCCCAAGTCCACAGTGCGATTCATATACCTTCCCGAGCGTAACGCAGCCGGGCATCTTCACGGCTTTTGACACAAAGCGCCCACCACAACAGCGCCGTTCAGTCACAGGTCGGAGCTCATACAGGCCGGAGCGCAACAGGCCCTACCGCAACAGCTACTCCTATCGTAACGTAACCTAACCTACAGAGGTGGGCAGTAGCGCGCTACATGTAGCGGCCGCTACATTTTCAGTAGCGGTAGCGGCACTAAATTTAATGCAATGTAGCGGTAGCGGTAGCGCCCGCTACATATTTAAGTAGCGATACGAGGTTTTGCCGCTACAGCGCTACCGCTACATTAATAGATAAAGCCTTTAGATTTTACTTAATAGTATTAAATATTATTTAAAAACCAGCATGATACATGCATAATATAAATTACAGAATAAAACTGTACGAAAGATTTCGGTGTAATGTTGTCAACCTCAGCCTGTTACTAGTGTCAACATGTTAGTTGTTACTTGTTAAGTTGTTACCACTTACCACTTAAGGCCGGTCCACACGCTCAGTTTTACACAACGATTTGTCTGGGCAGTTCTAATCGTTGCAGTTAAAACGTTGCGTGTGGACGGGAAAACTGCGCAGTTTTGAAGCCGCCGGGAAAACTGCACAGTTGCATCGAAATCTGAGCTACAGAGCATAGATTTCGATGAACTGCGCAGATAAGTCGGAACGTGTAGTGTAGACGGTAGTACAGTTTTCCGATTCAATTTGCGCTCAGTTTCAATGATTCTGGCAACAATGGCGGACCTTCGGTAATGTTCTCGGGAAGTTAGTGATCTTCTATACGAAAGTTTTTCTTGCATTTGGCGAGTAAAATTCAAGGACTATAGTAACAGGGACAAAAAAGGTGGACACATACAAAGGCTTAGTAGACAAATTTAAAGAAATCGATGAAAGCGCAAACAGAGAAACAGCTGTAAAACAAGTTGAGGAGCATTTACCGTAAACAATTGGGAATAAATAAAAAAATCGATTCCATCTGGACCTGGAGAAGAAGACATCTACAAGCCATCTCTCTTGTATTTTGATTCCTCGCATTCCCTACATGATCCAATCTCTTTTTTAACAAGGCACAATGCCAAAAATTTATCAAAATACTGCCTTTTCCATGGCACATCTCGGACAAATTTACGGCCGGACTCGCGGCCGGTCTCCCCAAATTCGATGAGCATGGAATATCTTCCAAAGTAATGAACGTAGCTCGATAAAACTTGGTACATGTATTCATTAGGACTTAACGGTGATGTTTAGCTCGTGAACATTTTTAGAATTTCACCTTCATTCGTGAGTTATATGACAATACGTGCCGAAATTTGCAGTGAGCATGACATTTCTTCTTAACTACTCTACAGATTTGAACGAAACTTTGAATATATAAACCTAACCTCCCAACGGCGATGTTTAGCTCGTGACAATTTATTAGATTAGATAAAAACGTATAACTCGCAAACGAAGGCAAAATCGAAAAAAATTGTCACGTGCTAAACATAACCGTTAACCGTTCTTTTCACGTGCCGACCGGCCACTGAAACGCCGGTAATACCGTTAACGGTAATTTTTCTAACATTGCAGTTATTTTTACACAGTTATTTTCAAGTTTCACCTTCCCTACCTGGATGTCTACTTTAATCTACCAATCTCAAAAATAATCCACATATATATATATATATATATATACAAAAAAAGACTGATTTTTTATATGCATACGTGGAAAATTTAGATTAAAGTTAAAAAGTTAAAAAAAAAAGTTAAAAGTTAAAAAGTATTAAAGTACACATCCATGTAAGGAAGGTAAAACATAAAAATAACTGTAACTTTTATTTACTGTATCAAACCCGTCCTAGTTCGGTTAGGTTAATTGCAATAAAGTTGCATTGATATGTTTTGAAAATATTTTGTTATCATTAAATATTTATGAGTAAATCCCAGAAGCTGAACAATAAATATTTAGAGATTTCCAATAATTTTGGCCAATGTAGCGGCTAATGTAGCGCGCTACATTTTACTGTAGCGGTAGCGGTAGCGCTCGCTATAATCTAGTGGGTGTAGCGGTAGCGGTAGCGCCCGCTACATTTAGAGCATGTAGCGGTAGCGGTAGCGCCCGCTACATTTAGAGCATGTAGCGGTAGCGGTAGCGCCCGCTACATTTAGAGCATGTAGCGGTAGCGGTAGCGCCGCTACATTTCAATGCAGCGCTGTCCAGCTCTGCTAACCTAACCTAACCGGCGCCGCCTGTTGCGGTAGGGCCTGTTGCGCTCCGGCCAGTTGGGCTCCGGCTCTGTGAAGCAGTGGCTGTGTTGTGTAAAGCGGATTTACTGTTAGCAGGACCCACAGCTCATTGATCTGAGGCTATGTGTAGCTATTGCATGCTGCTGGGAGAGTAGCACACGGCGGTAGAGGGTTGAGAAGATTAGTTCAGTAATTATACATTGGCTAGTCGCTGACTAGATAGTTCCGCACGCGTTGCATTTTATAATGTAATAATGCATTTATAATCGTTTTTAATAAATCTACACTGCCCCTAACGAACTCGCACAGACTTGGCTGGTTCATACAGGATTCTTTCACTTTTTTGGTGATCTTTAAGCATGCTCTGCTCTTCAATCGAACTTGCATACAAGATTTTTTCACTAAGTAGGTTCGCTCTAGCTCCACCAAATAAGGTAACTACCCAAAAAACTTTATGCTTATCTTGCCATTTATTCGAAATCGATGCACAGTATAAAAAAATACGCCAGCTTTGTATTGACACCATAACGAAGGAAAATTTTGCACATTATTGTTCATTAGTTGTGCGACTGACATTTTGACCCGTACTAACCGCGTGGTATTATTCTATACTATACTTGGTATTTGGGTGAAATTTGTGCTTGATTCAAACATCGTGAATTTGCTACTCTCCAGCGTATAGTATTTGTAAGGTGATATCTTTGCCAGCATGGATTTCTCATGTGACCATCTCTTTTTAGCGCATTTTCTCATTTATGGAAAAAATGCACTATTGTGCTCGCCATGTCCGTCAGTCCGTCCGTCCGTGATTTCTCATTTTCGTCGACGATAAAATGCGCTCACTGTTACTCACTGCAGTGAGTACTGAGTTATATTTTTTTCTCGATTCTCGTTGGGCTGCGCCTGATCACAAGCGCCCTCGGTGAGGTGACAGCGAAGTAATTTGCGTCTTTGTCCCCTCACTGATTGTGAATTATGACACAAATAATGACACATTTCTTACATAAGGTTTTCTAAACACTCTATATGTAATCGTGCTAGTTTACAACTATTTTTGGTGACAAAGATCTACATTCAGGAGGCTTATTCAGAAATCGATCACCGATTCGTGGAGAACGAAAAGTAAAACCAATTTACTTCTAAAAAAGGGTATAAATCGCACAATTCATGAATATAAATACGCATATTTTTTCCAAGTATTTTCCTCACAATTGTTTTATTACAAAGTCTACATATTATGTATTACTGCCCACAGATTGCAAGTAGCTGGTTAAGCATGAAAAAAATCAGGTAATCGCAGCTATATGAACACGGGCCTTAATCTCTGAATGCCGATTCCTAATCGTACATTTGTCTCTTTCCTGACGATTATCCACGAATAATTTCACATAAATACCACAAACCCTCGATAATTATTCTCAGATACCCATGTAGAGTTTTTCAATTTATAATCCAGCACTAACATGTCGGATCTACGCGTTATGAAGAGTCAGATAATTTCGCGCAAAAGTCTTACGCTGCTTGCGTGAATCACAGCTGCGCTCTTGGCTCACATTGTCTTTTAATCAATCAATTTTGTACGTAACGCTTTAAAAAAATCACGTTATTACGTTATCTTAGTAGCATTCAATCATTATATTTCTAATCAACACGACTAATTACAACTCATTCCACAAAGCTTCGCATTCTAACGAGTTTCATTGATTTCTTGTATTTCACGCGAATAAAATTGATTTACCTCCTGCTCGTTCACTTCAGTCGACATCATTGTTCAATATTATTAATAGTATTTTTATTTCAATATTGTTATCAAATTACTTAAATTACACTCACTTTCATTCCAGGTCTCCTCATACCTTCTACATCTTCTGGATGCTCGAGAGCGCCCAGTACACTTACGCGGACCTCAACACCTACAACGGCGTCTTCAACTGGACCATGACTTATCGTCTCGACTCTGACTTCCCTCGACCGTAAAATTTTATCAGATCCTTGCATGATTTAATTTCGAAAAACTGAACTTCGTCCATGTCTTAAGTTTGCAACAAAAAATGACACCACATTACTGAAGATTTAGAACGATAATGAACTTAGACTGTCGATGTTTATTGGCACTCGAAACTCATTTCAAATTCATGACCAACAGGTACGGGAGTATTGTGTTCTCACCCAACGTCTCAGCCAAGACTACCGCACCCAAAAATTACGCTCATGGAAAAACTAAACTGGCCGCTTGGTTTGTCAGTAACTGCCACACCGTCAGCGGCAGAGAGCAGTGAGTTTGAAAATACTTTAAATAACACATTGATATCTTATATATTCCAAATTTCCTTTCCCATTGTTGATGGCCTCGACAGTCTGGTGCAGGCTCTACAGACACACATGGAAGTGGACATCTATGGCACCTGCGGAACGTTAATTTGTGAGAGGAAAGACGAAAAAAGTTGCCGGGAGATGCTGGAGAAAGACTACAAATTCTACTTGGCCTTTGAGAACAGCCTTTGTGTTGACTACATCACCGAGAAATTTTTCGAGGCTATCAAGTAAGGGAATAAAGAACTCGATTACCTTCTCGTTAATAAAATTTAGGAAAAATTCATGAGCAAATGGGCAGGTAATAAGAACGATATATCAAAATTATCTGGGTTTTGTATTATTTTCGAGAATTTCGTCAAAATATAGTAAGTAAAGTTGTTACGATCGTTTAAATTCAAATATACTGCAGTGACTATAACTACGCAGCAAAATTATCGTGTGTCTACACCTCGCACAAATACTGCTAAATATAGGAGCTTGCAGCAATTATTAAACCGAGATTATAACATAATAAGAGCACTCAATACTTATAAAGCTTATACAAGTGCGTGCCCCCACCGGCAGGTACAACGTGGTGCCTGTCGTCTATGGCCTCGGCTACGAAAGAACTCAAATTCCCAAGGGCGCCTACATCGACGTCATGGACTTTGCCTCCGTACAAGACCTGGCGAGCTATTTACTCTACCTGGACTCTAACGACACGGCTTACAATGAGTACTTCAGGTTAAAATTTAGCGGTTAATATCAAACAAATCTGGACTTGAATGACACGGCGTACAATGAGTACTTCAGGTTAAAATTTAGCGGTTAATATCTGCCAAATCTGGACTTGAATGACACGGCTTATAATGAGTACTTCAGGTTAAAATTTAGCGGTTAATATCTGCCAAATCTGGACTTGAATGACATGGCTTACAATGAGTACTTCAGGTTAAAATTTAGCGGTTAATATCTGCCAAATTTAGACTTGAATGACACGGCTTAAAATGAGTATTTAAGGTTATATCTTAGAACAAAGAATTGAATTGAACGACCCATGGGTCGTTACGGCTTTTCTAGAGCAAAGTTCCTTTTCTCTTCAACGCAATTTTTTCTGAAGACTGCAAATTCAGTTGATTGAAAATATTACCATTTCCGTTAAAATAGTATGAATTGTGGGTTTGCTTACCTGTTAGTCGCGTCAGATAGAACAGTAATGTTGCATTTAACGGTTTATGCTGCATTTAGACAACTTAAGTTCTTATGATGACGCCTTGAAAGAATCTACAAGGAAGATACACCGCATAATTATACGCTGATTTTTTACACAAGGTGGAAAGAAGAAGGCTACAAAGTATTCGAAGATCAAAATGAAGTGTACAAAAAAACTTTCTGCGACGTGTGTGAAAGGCTTCACGAAGCTGAAGGAGGGACTGTGGTTGACGTTAATTCAAACGAAGGTGTGCACCTAAACAAAAGTAGGCTACAGATTCAACGTCCAGAAATCAAAGAAAAGTATCGAAAGGTTTACAATATCAACGAATGGTTTGTTACTGGACAGTGCATTTCCCCCAACAACAATGAAAGACTCACAAGTTTTGTTCACGGGTAAGATTTAACTAAGATTAACTATCTCTCTCATCTCATCAAGTATAGTTGTATCACTTAAAAACTTTTCAATATTATATGGATACAGAATAGTCCGCATCCCTCGTTAATTATTCCGAAAAATAGTAAATTTAGGAGCAAATTTTTTATGTACTAGAATTCTTTCTAGAGTGCATGATGACCCTCTTGAACTTATTAAAAAAGTAGATTGTAATTAATTGATAAATTATACTTGTGTTATCCAGGCAATCATGAGTAGCCAAACGTACGTGCTTTAAAATCGTAATTGTTGTATATCATGAGCCTGTACAGACAGTTTTATAACTAAAATTGTGCAACCATGGTGAATAATCACTCAGCCCGTGGCCCTTGAAATCAAGTTGGTCGCAATACTTGTAAATTTACGACAAAAATTATAATTTAAATTCAATTCTAACATTAAGCATTGCCCCTGTTGCGTGTCTTGATATTGGAAGTCTTACCCGGTGTTGCTCTGGATAAATAATTACGGCAAGCTGAAAATCCTGTTGAAACGAATTCCCTTATCTGGAATCTGTTAAGTAATTTTGAAACTGAAGTACTTTAATTTAATATAGATCCGTTCCAACACACATTTAGACCGGAAGTGGCATTGAAATCATTGATTGATATTAGCATAAACTTTATTTTCAATTTTTAAATGAAATTAACGAGTCAAGATTTAGGAATCTATTCATTTTCTAAATTCACTCTTCCTTCTCCTTTTTGAAATTCATTATCTTCCCCATATTAATAACAAAAACGTGACGACAGGATGTGTATTGCAGCTACGCGCTGGAATAGCTCGCGTATATTGTAAATATCTACAGCGGCTGGCGAAATCAATCAACAAACGAAGGAACTTTCACAATATTTCACTGCAGAGCTGGGCAGCGCTACTTTGAAATGTAGCGGCCGCTACCGCTACCGCTACATGCTCTAAATGTAGCGAGCGCTACCGCTACCGCTACATGCTCTAAATGTAGCGGGCGCTACCGCTACCGCTACATGCTCTAAATGTAGCGGGCGCTACCGCTACCGCTACATGCTCTAAATGTAGCGGGCGCTACCGCTACCGCTACACCCACTAGATTGTAGCGAGCGCTACCGCTACAGTAAATGTAGCGCCGCTACAATGGCCAAAATTATTGGAAATCTCTAAATATTTATTGTTCTGCTACTGGTATTTACTCATAAACATTTAATGATAATAAAACATTTTCAAAATATATCAATGCAAATTTATTGCAATTAACCTAACCGAACCAGTACGGGTTTGAAACAGTAAACAAAAGTTACAGTTATTTTTATGTTTTACCTTCCCTACATGTATGTCTACTTTAATATAGCAATCTCAAAAATAATCCACGTATACATATAAAAAATCAGTCTTTTATTTGTGTATATATGTGGATTAGTTTTGAGATTGGTAGATTAAAGTAGACATCCATGTAGGGAAGGTGAAACATAAAAATAACTGTGTAAAAATAACTGTAAGCAAACTGAAACATGAAAAAATACCTGTAAGTGGTAACTGGTAACAACTTAACAAGTAACAACTAACATGTTGACAACATTACACCGAAATCTTTCGTACAGATTCATTCTGTAATTTATATTGCGTATTTATCAGGTTGGTTTTTAAATAATATTTAATACTATTAAGTAAAATCTAAAGGTTTTAGCTATAAATGTAGCGGTAGCGCTGTAGCGGCAAAACCTCGTATCGCTACTTAAATATGTAGCGGGCGCTACCGCTACATTGCCTTAAATGTAGCGCCGCTACCGCTACATGTAGCGCGCTACTGCCCACCTCTGAATATTTGTAATGGATTACTAAAAGCAAGAAAATATCAATTACAAAAAATAATGTTATTGGCGTTGAGAATTCCGTTTAGACATAATAATAACACTTGAAAGAATTGTTGAGTAACTCACGTGATGTCAAATGTAATTGCGATACTTTCCTGTTTGTATTACATTAATTGCTGCTCCTGAGTTATGACACACAAACAACATATTACTTTAGCTAAATTCTCTGTCTATCAATTCGATATAATTACGACTTGAACACGTTAATGTGGTGGTTACGAATGGCATATGAAGATGACAATAGTACGAAACGTATGTTTCTGCATATACAAGGCGCATTATTACAATATTTTTATTCAATAAATATACACCATTTCAGGAAATATATGAGCCATGAAGATATGAAAAGTGAACTGCAGAAGCTCCCGTTACTTTTCAAGCCCAAGAATTCAACAGACGATCGTCCAACGTAAATGAAGGCGAAAGCAAGACCTCCATCCAAAATGACTCGATTTGAGGCAACTTCTGATTTTCGAATGAAATAAATTTAAAACTCAGTTTACAAAATGAATAAACATTCAAATGTTTACGAACAATGTATTCACCCGATGAAGGGATCTACTCATTTGCACACCGCAGAACTTAAATTTCTGTTAGTGACATGATTTGTTAGTGAGCCAATGTTCTACAAATTTGTTCACCTCAATTATTCTAGCACGACTTCAGAATTAGTCGCTATTTCCTGTGAAAATCGTGAGTGTGCAGAGCAGCAAAGTTGATAAGATTCGCCTACTTAAGCTTCAAGGAATCGAAATGACCACCATTTTCCATTCATCAACTCACTTTTTTTTTATTGTTAGCACTTGAAGAATGCACAATGCAAAAAAAAAGAAATAAATTGAAAAACGTGTGGCGTCTGTTACCTTTAACTTATGATCTGAGAGAAAGAAAAGCTAACAACCGAACAATTTTATAAATAGCCTTCTGCACTTCTCAATATTGAAAACACAATTATTTGTACTACATCTAAATTAAGTGTGTTATTTCATTTTGATGATCAAATAACAAGCTTCTCGTAGTTACCAATGAAAGAAATTATGTTTCAAGCAAGCATTCCCTCTTTATTTCTTAATTGAGCAAGAGTACACAGCTTAGTCGGGAGCCCACGCTTATGGTTGGGAGTATAACAATTCACGCACGGCGTGTATCACATAGTGTATGTATCAACTTGACTTCTGGAGGTGATATGTAATGAAAAATATGTCGTCTTAAGGCCAGATACTGAAAATAACTGGTACATCCAAAATGTTACAGAAATTTGCCGACTGCTCCGGTAATAAATTATGCCGATCGCAGCCGCGGAACTACCATAACAGGGCTAACAGTCACGGTGAACATTCCCGTAAATCAGACCACATGGAGAATATTACTGCAATAGCACGTGAATTGTGCCTCAAAGACAGACTCGGCATCACGTAATCTCTAAGTAGCAAGTGAATTAGAAGCCAATCCTGTAAATATTTGTGGAGTGTGTTTGTGCTTGCTTTTGTTTGAAGCCTAGGGCCGCATATAAGGGCAGTTTGTTCCCGTATCCACGATACTTTTCGCGTCGGGCTACACCTGACCCAGAAATTTTATTCGTTGTAGGGCAACGGTCTGGTATAGCAAAACTGGGAGGAAAGCACAGCATCCAAATTTTCCAGCCTCTCTGAAAAGACACAAAAAAACAGTACTCTACGGCTAGCAAAAATTATAAACGCAGGATATGGACCGAAAAGAGTATATACAAACAAAGACTAACATAAATAACATTTTATGATCTTAGTAATAAAAAAAACTTTATTCGGCTATGATTAACACAAAATAAGCAAGACTTGCAAATCCGTGCCTCTATTGTATCATGAAACAATTACAATACATCACTATAAGCAAGGTCATGAGTGAGGTAACCTCAAACTTGAGTGAATAAGTCAGACTTAATAAGAATGTTTACTGCCAAATGTTGTGAATACGCAAATCGTTGAACAACCTCTTGTACACAATTTCTAAATGGAAGCTTCTGAGCTGCAGGAATTGTTTTAATATGTGGCAATAAACTTTTTAAGAACAATAGGTCATCATCCTCTCCCTCTTGCTTGCGCTCCATCTTTTTCTTCAGATATTGCACTTTCTGCTGTTCGATATTCAACAGGCTTTCATTGAATTGTTCTGCTGGAGATACCTTCTTTCGTTTTTTTCCTTTGTTTTGCTGACCAGACAGAGTGCTCATTAAAGTTGGTTCTTGCGAAATTTGACCCATGACAGCTTTTGCATTACTATTAGATGAAGATGCTAAGCAATCTTCTTCATCTGTGGGCAAGTCTTCAGCTCCCTCCATGTCACCAGTTTCACATTTTACTTCACCCATTGTTGGTGATGAGGTTTCACTTGCATCATCGTTAATCACGTATGACAAATTTCTACTAGATGGTCTTGGTCTAACAACATTGTTCAAGAATTGTAGCTGTGTAAAATGCTTCCATTTTGATGAGACATTATTATCTGCTGCATCTCCTGATCGGGGTGATTGCATTTTGCCGAGCTCAACAGAAAATTGGTCTCTCAGATACTTCCATTTCTTTTTTATCTGCGTTCCTGTAGAGACAAACAATGAGGGATTGTTAGCAAAAGTCATATAATATTTCATGCTTTTAATACACACATAGCTATACAGTACTATGAAAAATTATAACACCAATACTAACAAAACTTTATATCTTCTTTGCAGATATCTGGCCTACAGTTAGTAAGATTGTTGCAGAAACTTTTGGGGCATTGTGGGAAGAACTGCATGAGCAACACATGCCAGTACCCACAAAGAAATGTTTCAAAAAAATTGCTGAAGATTTCTCCAAAATTTGGAGCTTTCCTAATTGCATTGGCTCAATAGATGGTAAACACATACGTGTTAAATGTCCAAGCAATTCAGGATCTATGTATTACAACTACAAACAGTTTTTCTCCTTTGTCCTTCAAGCAGTGGCTGATACTAACTACAAATTTGTTTTCATAGATGTAGGAGGTTTTGGCAAACAAAGTGATGGTGGGACATTCCAAGCCTCGGAGCTTTCCAAGGCGTTGAAATATAGAAATTTGGATATTCCTGAGCCGGCCTACCTACCAAATACAGCAGTCAAAGTACCAAACGTAGCTACTTGTGGGGGACAAAGCATATCCACTTAAGCCATTTTTGCTAAAACCATATGGAGCCTGGAGGGCATAACCTAACTATTGAATTTGAAGATACAACCTTCAACCAAAGTTTGTCAAGATGTCAGAAAACCATTGAACGTGCATTTGGAATGATATTCAGTAAATGGTGTTTGTTAGCAACATGTATTGATACCAAAGTTGAAGTTATTGATAACATTGTAAAGTGCATATGTGTACTCACTGTACTGCATAACACAATCATAGACAAGGAAGAAATTGAACATCATCTAACTGAGAGTCTGAGACTGTTAACTCAGGGATTGAAAAACAGAATCCTGTACATCAGGACAATCAGGTTGGAAGGCTGGACAACGATGCTGTGGTGTGGATGTGAGGGAAATATTTAAAATTTCCTGTTAAACAATCCTTTACTATACATGCCCCTGACAAAGCAGACATGATATTTGAAATGTTATTTGAGAATGCCATACAGCTACTTATCCTAGCCATGAGACAATTACTAATCCCATTTCTGTTACTATTTGTGTACAAACTGTACATTCACATTCAGTACATTGTCATTGTACATACACTAGTATGGAATATATCTACTTGGCGAGCCGCGACTGAATTTTTCGAGCCGTGGTTTTATGGATTTGCCAGCCGTTAGTCTGACCACTTTGACATGACCGCAACTATGCGCGATCTTCAACAAACGTTTTGTTTATTTGTTTACATTACGATGTTTATGTTTTTTCTGCAAGATATTTTTGGCGGAAACGGTAAAGCAATGCGGATTGCGGAAATTGAAAATTTTATGAAATGACATGTTTGCGAAGTGCAAACCGCAATTTTCCAATCAAACAAAAATTTATGACATTTGAGCC